ATTAATTTTGTCAATATAAATATTAACCACTGTTTTTCCTATGCACACTTGTGTCATATTAAACTAATAAATTAGACAAAAATAAGAAAACGTTTTTTTTAAAGATCGCTTCATGGAGTTTATTTTAGCATTCTTGTCTCAAAGACCTGATTCAAGTTATTGAGCATAAACGATATCGGATTCCTGACAGTCATAGGGCGAGTCATGTTTTCCTGCGAAACTTTTCAACCTTTTTCGATTAACTATTCGGGATAGTTCACTTTGAGGATAAACAGGAAATTGAAAAAAAAATCATAACCGTTTCACCGCTTTAGTGTTACATGCATATGTACAATATGGAATTTGTAAAATGTGTTAAACATACTTTCTAAACTTCGAATCTTAGGCTATAAGAACGTTCTTTTCTTTTAATTTCATTAAAGCTATCACTCCTATTTAATAGAACATTCCAAAGAAAAGGGGCGAAGATTAACTCATGGCGTTTGGCGCTAAAATTTGAATAGTGACCCGCCTTTCATAATTTTAAGAGAGAAGCACTGTATCATTGATATATACAAGTAGATTTAGAGTAGAGGTCCCGATAGCGTAATATTTAGTGCGTTGGAATTTCATGTGGCGACTTTGGTTCAATCCCCCTTGTGTGCAAATCTTTTTTTTTACTTTTCAAATCGATTTTACGTGTTCTTTCCGGAATCGGACGGAAGACCTCTCGTTGCTCGCAACGAGTTTCATCTAGTTATTATTATTCTTTTTATACGCCCGTCTTAAGACGGGACGTATTATGTTATAGGCTTCATGTCCGTCCGTCCGTCCGTCTGTCTGTCCACTCGTGTCCGGCTCATAACTTCAATACTAATAGGCCTAGGACTATCAAACTTTGTCAACTGGTACTTCTTGGGTAGACGGTGTGTCGCGCACAAAAAGTAGGTCGCTCTGACCTTTAATTAAGATGCTATGGCCAAATATGGAAAAATCCTGTCCGGCTCATAACTAGTAAACTATTAGACCTAGAACTATCAAACTTGACAAATGTATACATCTTGGGTAGAAGGTGTGTCGCGACCTATTTCAAGGTCACTGTGACCTTTAATTTAAGTGAAATTTTTTAAAAAACTAAATCTTTTGAATTTTTAATTTCATAATCCTAAAAAATGTAAAATTAAAGTTGTATCCTTGTTAAAAAATGTAAAATCAAGTAAAAAAACTTATTTTTTCATCATATACTTTACAGCAATCTGTAAGAAATGTTAATGTTATAAGAGGAATGCAGTTTGTCCCATGGGTATAATTAACAAGCATTGGTCAAGAAGAATTTTGATAGCAGAAATGTGCATGTCAAATTAGAGAGAAATTAATGAGTTTATTGTCAAGAGTTAACTGGAAGACCATCTCTGACCATGCAGCTGTTGTCTCTTGGGAGTTGGGCAAAAAGAAATGGCCTCATAGTTGCTTGTGTTAATTAAGAGTTCTAGATGGCTAGTTCAGATAAAGATCTTTCAATTAGTTATTTGGTGTAATGTAATTAAAAAAATTGATGATTTAAAATACAGTATATGATTAAAATTAAATTAATATTGTCTGATATAATAAAAACTAATTGTACATATTTACATTGAAAAAAAATACATTTCAATTTTTTATATATTTGCAACAAATTGCAGAGTGCCATGTCTTATAAAATTTTATAGTCTAAAGAATAATTTCTGTTTGATGTTTTTTAGACTGTAGCATTTTTAATCAATCATAAAATATGCAATAAAAAATCAGCAGATGGATATTTGTTAAGCTCTAACTCAGCCAGTTTAGAATTATATGATGTATTATTTCTTAATTATTGCCTACACTCTTAGACAAGTATGTACAATAAATATAATAAGGAATGGAAATTAGATCATTGAAATCAGTGTCAATCTTGTAATCTTGAACTTGGTAATCAAAGTTACCTGATTTTCTTGCACTCTGATTACCAATTTATGATCATTATTGAACAATATTTGACGGGCGTATCATGCTGTGGCGGGGCACTTTATTATTATTTTTTTTCCAAAATTTTGTGCACGCGATTTCTCGAAGACTACTGGATGGAATTACATGAAATTTTCAGAAACAATGTGTCGTAACATGAACTTGATCTATCTGAGCGATTTTTTGAAAATTCTTATCTGGTGCCAAGTTACGGGACATTTCCTGATTTTAAAATGATATTTTGTCTTCGGTTAATCTCAAGAACGGTAAAAGATATCAATGTGAAACTTTCAGGGATTATAGATCGTGATAGATACTATCCAGGGCGCGACCTTTCGTTCGTCGTCAATACTTCCTGTCGTTAGGAGATGCGAATTGAAAAAAGCGTATTTTCTAACTTTTTTGTTTTCCAATATTTTTTATTTATTTTTGGAATATTAATAGAGACCTTTCTATTGATGCTTACTATATAAGTTGTTTGATTATTGGTTAATCTGAACTCTAGATATTAATATTTGAAAATCTGAAGCGGGTCCAAGATGGCGGCTGCCTCTGTCAACTCCGCCATTTCGCGAGTAGGGGTTTATGGAGGCAGCTGAGCGTTTGATTAAACGATTCTGACATAAGGATATATGAAATGTAAAAAACTACTTCGACTCTCACGTAGTAGTGAAATGGTTGGAGGAGTTACGTCCCGTTACTTGTTTATATTATAATAGCTAATCAATAAAAATATTGTAATTAATTGGTCAATTGACAAAAGAATTATACAAGTATTATTGATAAATGATGTTCTGTTAGAAAATAATAATAGTGTTGCCAAAAGAAAGACAGTCTGTTGTATTTTATCAATATGATATCTGATAATAACTTATGATCATTGATTAAGTTGAGGTACAAGGGGGCAGTACAGCCAACTGGCTTGTGTCTTCACTTTTGTACAGAAACCAATTGGTGTAACGATCAAATTGGATTGTGCAAAGTTGCTGTAGTTAGTGATTAGTTAAAATATAGTCGTGTGACGTTAGCTATAGGTTTGTCATTAGGACAGAGAAGCTTTTACAAAGTTAAATCATATTGTGTAAGTTACTAAGTATATTGTAGTCACTTGGCTAGAGTTATAATGGCAACTTGGTAAGCAGTAAGACACCAGGCAGGTGTTAAAGGCTAAATCAAGAGGCACCAGGCAGGTGGCTATTGACTTATATAGTCAGTTATATAGTGAGGCAATTGTCATATGGCACCAGGCAGATGCCGGTATTAACTGAAGATATATAATTGTACAAAGCACTTAGGTCATTTGATTTAAAGACACCAGGCAGGTGTCATATTATTATCTGTATATATTGCATTCAATCGTATTGTCAGTAAAACTCGGTAATCTGAGCACGGACCTACTGACCGCTCAGGTCCGACACGTTACAGTAGAACGTTGCAATTGAGTGTCAATCTTAAAACTTAATTTCCGTTTCATTGCTTTAGTGTAACTGGGCTAGATACGATATGTAATGTGTATAATGTGTTACATATACTTTCTTAACGTCGAAATAAAAAAAAGGCGCTAAGAGTGTTTTATTTTTAAAATTTAATTGAAGCTATCATACCTATTTAATAGATCAGTCCAAGGAAAAGGCGCGAACATTTACTCGTGGCGTTTGGCACGAAATTATGAATGTTTTTTTTATAATTCTTAGACAGGTGAACTGTTGCAAAAGTATACACAAGTATATTTAGAGCAGTACTCCCAATAGCTTAATGGTTAGCGCGTTGGGGATAACAAAGTATTTTTAAAAAAAGCGCATTCACTTTGGCGCAGGTGTATAATGATGGACCTCTTCCTTGTGACCAAAATTTTGAATCTCTTTTCAACTCGATTTTACGTGGATTTCTTTCCCTTTCGTTGCTCGCAACGAGATCGTATCTAGTTATTATTATTATTATTAGCTCACCTGAGCCGAAGACTCAAGTGAGCTTTTCTGATCAAAATATGTCCGTCGTTGTTGTCATTGTCGTCGTAAACTTTTCACATTTTCATCTTCTTCTCAAGAACCACTGGGCCAATTTCATCCAAACTTGCTACAAAGTATCCTTGGGTGAAGGGGATTCAGGTTTGTTCAAATAAAGGGCCATGCCCTCTTCCAAGGGGAGATAATTATGAATTAGTAAAAATTTAATGGAATTTTTAGCTAACATGAGCCGAAGGCTCAAGTGAGCTTTTCTGATCACATTTTGTCCATCCTCCGTCCGTCCGTCTGTCTAGCTGTCCATCTGTCTGTCCGTCTGTAAACTTTTCACATTTTTGACTTCTTCTTAAGAACCACTGAGCCAATTTTGACCAAACTTAGTGCAAAGCATCCTTGGGTAAATGGGAATTTAAATTGTTAAAATGAAGGGCCAAGTCCCCTTACAAGGGGAGATAATCAAGAAAAGACAAAAATAGGGTGGGGTCATTAAAAAATCTTCTTCTCAAGAACCACTGGTCCAGAAAAGCTGAAACTTATGTGAAAGCATCCTGGGGTAGTGTTGATTCTAAATTGTTAAAATCATGACCCCTGGGGGTTGGGCGGGGCCACAATGGGGAATCAAAGTTTTACATAGAAATATATAGGAAAAATCTTTGAAAATCTTCTTCTCAAGAATGACAAAGCCATAATTCAATATATTTATATGGAAGCATGCTCAGGTAGTGTGGATTCAAGTTTGTTCAAATCATGACCCCCGGGGGTAAGGCGGGGCCAAAATGGCCGACCAAAGTTTTCAAAGATATATATTCGAAAATTCTTTAAAAATCATTTTCTAAAAAATAGCAAATCCATGATTGGTCATGGGACTACTTTTGGATTTAAACTTTACAATAAAAAACCATTTTCTACTTTTTCCTACCCTTAGTGCTCAGGTGAGCGATGTGGCCCATGGGCCTCTTGTTAAAGTTTGTCAGTTATTATCAATGTTAAATGTCCACCAACTTTACAGACAACCCTCGTGTAAAATTACAATGTTACATGTTGAATTCGAAAGTTTATGATCAATAGTAAAGAAAGATCGAAATCTGAACTGCTATGAAATACGTCCGGTCTGTCGGGTGTACTCTCTATAAATAATATGTTTTGAATGAAAATGAAATAAATCTGTAAAATTTAAAGAAATCTTAAGTTTTCTTTGTTGTTTAGATACGAGGAAGTGAAATATAATCTTTGGTGATTGAAATTCCCATCTTTTTAACAGAATTAAAAGAAAAAGTGCATGTCTGATATGTATTGGAAGTTATATTTTGATACGATATGATTCTTGAATATCGATATATTAATTGACACAGCCCTAACACCAACCACATGCATATTAAGTGATATTTAGGAGTAATACTGAAATATCTTTTGCTTTAGGGTACCATACACCTGAGGAATATAATCAGTACAAAAAATTCATAGAGCTTGGAAGACAGCGCCAGTATGCAAGACCATCCCGTGCCAAGTCGGCCCCAGCAGAGAGATGGTAAATAATTAGGGCCCCACTTGGCGGGCGCCCTATAGTGATCAGTCTGTCCGACTATCCTTCCGCGCTTTTGTCCATCCAAGATATGTTGTCCACAGCATATCCCCTCTTTCCTTGGCCCAATCTGGCTCATACTTCACCCACAGAGTGCCTTTGGGTAAAGGGTTTGCAGTGACCTTGAACCATGTTTCTAGGTCAAAGGTCAAGGTCGTAGCAGAATTATATGAAAATCCCTGTCTGGAGCATATCTTCTCTCCCCTTGGTCCAATGTGGCTCATACTTCACTCACAGAGTGCCACTGGTCAAGGATGTGCAGTAACCTTGAACAAAATTTCTAGGTAAAGGTCAAGGTCAAAATAGCCTATCTGTTTAAAAATCTATGTTTGGTGCATAATTTCTTTCCCTTAACTCCAGTCAGCCTCAAACTTTGATCGATGATATGCAACAATTTTCATAAAAGATACATTTCTAAAAGTTTTTTTTTAATTTTATTATTTTTACAGAGAAAAGTTACTTTTTGTCCCCTTTAGACTCAAACAACTTCAAAAATAATCCCTTTTCAGCTTACCTTACATTTTCATATTTGTTGCTGAAAGTGGGGCCCTTTGAGATGGCCACCATCTCAATGATATCTAGTTTCACTTACATTTATAACTTTATGTCACATTATGAGTAGAATACTACACAATCATAGTAATACATGTACAGATTTCCTGTAATGTCATGCTATTAATTTTTTTCATACAATATCAGGGCCAAAACATTTGAAGAAAGCCTATTTAGTGATGAAGAAGAACAAACTACCAAAAAGTCTGCATCATCCAAAAGTCTTAGAATGAAATCCCCTACAAACAGTAATAGACGGGATCCTGTCAAGTCCAGCCAATCAGGAAAAGCAACAGGCAGGTCTACAAAGGAAACACCAGTGTCAAAATACCCAACAACATCAGAACCTTCACTCAAGCCCTACTTGCAGCCAAAGTCTGAAGTAAGACCAAGATCACGATCCAGATCACCACCTGAAGAGAAGAAGGAAGAAAAGGGAGAAAGTTCTGATACCTCAGAAAGTGTGCAGTCCTCCCCAGACAGAAAAATTCACAGGGAGGGGTATGATAGGCCACTGTCCAGAATAGGCCACATCCCTGAAGGTACATAAACTTTTTAAAAAAATAAGTTTTAAATAGATTCCTCTACCAAATTACATAGATTGTCATTGATATTTGTTACATTTAATTGTAACACCAAAAGGAAATTGGTCCTATTCTTGTATGTTTTTACAGTTATTTTTGTAAAATATAATTCTTAGTTTGTTGCAGTCTTTCATAGATTGCGTAAATTCTTGATACAGTAAAAACAAAAGGCATGCACTCAGAAAAAGAGAGATAGAAATTACCTCAAAAGTGTGTTTAATTATTGTTTACTTAATGTGACAGCCCATGCTGGATTGTTTGTTTTGCAATTAAGATTGCTTGTTGTTGGTACATATATTACAAAAATTTTTTAGCTCACTCAGACAAAGTCTAAATAAGCTAATGCTCTAATCCCTGGCCTCAGGGATAATATAGACTCCCTGTTAAAGTTTTGGGAGCATGTCCATTCCCAAGTAACTATAAGCCATACTTGAACCAAACTTGTCTGGATGATACATCTTTGGGGATAGACACTACCACATTTGCTTCAGATGCTGGATCTGACCTAGATTTTGCAGATGAGTGAACAGGTAAAAGTTGTAGGTCCTTTGGATAAGACCTAAAAAAAAAACTGAGATCCCCATGTCACTATTGATTATATAGTGAAAATGCATTAATTCTTTGAAAATCGTTTCCATTGCTCCTGGGTTTTATGGCAATGGTCCAAGTATACATATATTTATGATGAAGAAAGGTGTATCTAGCAAAATGGTTATTTTTTATGCCCCCTGGGTCAGGGTTACATAGTCTAAAAGTAAATCAATGCTTTGAAATCTGCTCTTTAGTATTAGTCAATCATTTTGTGATAAAATTTGCAAAATTTTGAAATATGTGGCCACAAGGTCAGTGGTTGCTTTGGTTTGAAGTGCACAACTGGTTATAAGGTTGAAAGGCATTTTCTCTTTGTTACTCTGATCTACCTCTGGGTATTAAGTAAATAGAGTAAGCATGCTAAGTTTATACAGTAAAACTCGGTTATAGCGAAGTCACTGGGACCTATAAAATTACTTCGCTATATCCATAATTCGTTATATCCACAGGCCTTTAGATCACTTAGAAAATCAAAGTACTGAAAGTACTGAATCGAGGTACTTCAGTACCCATCACCATAAGAGGAAAATACCTCGCATTTCTCTTCAAATTATATTTTGATTTGTTTCTTGTTATACAGTAGCTGCAGATCTGTAGCTCTCCGAAAAAATTCACAGACCGGAGAGCTACAGTGCCACCCATTGAAAAACTGTTTATTTATTGCGCAAAAAGAAGTGCGCTGTTTCTCGATTTATTTCTCCGTGTTTTTAAACTGTCATCTCAAAATATTACTAACCTTGTGTTCCTAACATATTCTTTCACTGTTTCCACAACAATATGTTCCTTATAATTGTTTTTAATATGAAATTGAGATCATCAAACATATCGTCTATTTATAATGCAATTTTGGTTTGCAAGATAATTCAATCCAACGCACTTCGTGCAGATGTCAACTACGAGAGTACTTATTAGAGGAGTAAGGAATTTTTTAAAATGTATCTTTATTGCGATTGAGGTAAGAATTTGGAAGACCTAATCCAGAACTAAGCACAACTTTTTGTGGGCAATAAATATACAGTTTTTTTTCAGTGGATGGCACTGTAGCTCTCCGGTCTGTCAAAATATTTTTTTTAGAAGAGATACAGATTTTCAGCTAGTTACACAGTAATAAGGATGAACATTATATTTAATGATATTAACTAAAAAAGTGCAGACACGGGGCTTACATAAAACACTAAATAGAATAAGTATCCTGCCAGTATCATTTTGTCCAATGTATCCTAACTCTGTCACCAGGGTTCTCTACAATATGCCAACGTATTAAAGAATCCCCCTTAGTTAAACTTTTCATGAACTTTGTATGAAAAAGAAAATAGAGTACGTGTCATATATTTTTGAAATTGCAGCATGAAGGCTCTGGGGCCGTAAAACTTAGATGAGCTCACTCTTGATCTCAGTCTCACTTTTCTACAAATACATGTACTAGTAATTCTTTATAAGTAAAAGTGAAATTAGGTCAAAAGTGCCCCTGAGCAAGGAAACAACATTTATCATTGATGCAGCTAGCATTTAATACAATCAAAAACCCTCTCTTTAGTTTTCACATCCTCTTCAAAGTTCATTTTCAAATTCCTTATAATAACTTTCTTTTTGTGAATTCTTAAAATTATGAATAATAGAAACCACATAATAATAACTTTATTACAAGTATAAATTATTATGTAATCTAGATTAATAGCTCTAAAATTTACATGCATGTCTTTATTTACATCATGATTCAATCATTTTAACAATAGAAATGATCTACCTTCGGTATGACATCGATAGATGTTTTTAGTTGTGTTAACATTGCGTCTTGTTGTGTATAACTAATGTAACAATGTAATTTTTCATATGCGGAATCCTAAATTCTAGAGGAGTTCCTACCGAGTATTCGATGACGTGGTCATTACTCATTAGCATGCAGCGAAATAGGTACAGGTGCCCTGCTGTTATTCACCTTTTTCAACAGTAATAGCATCAAACAGATTTATAAGATTGGGACGATATTTTTACATTCTGAACAGATTTTTTTAATGAATTACAAAAACAGAAGGGTGAAAATAACTTCGCTTTTGTGATAATTTACAGTGAAGTGCGAAAACATCTTCACTTTTGTAATAATTTACGGTGAATTTTGGAGCTCAGTAGGGACTATTGCGCCTCAGACGCCTCTATGTTAACCCCAAATTTATTTAATTGCATGTTTCAATTCAAGCAGAACGCTTCCTTCTGTTTTGTTTCAGTGTATACTGTTCTGTTCTCTCCCTTGCCTGCGATCGACGTTCAATACACATACATGTAGGTCACGATCTCTGCTGCAGTCAGTTGTTTACATTTTACCCTCGCTAAAATGGTTCAGAGCGTAGGGATACTTCATATCTTATTCCCACTCAGGAACTTGTATTTAGTATTTGTAAATCCATAAAAACACTATTTACTGCTTGGAAATTAAATTAAATACATTGTAGATCTTGTTTTGTGACTGAAATTCTGATTTTAATACATGTATAATCAGGGGACTATATTTCTTAGAGAACTGATAAAAACTAATGTTTGAATATTTCCAATCAATCTTGCAAGTGCTATTGTTTACATATTAGCAACCTATCTCTGATTTGATCCTTGCCTTCTAAGGTACCATATTTTAACAACAAGATTACTGATCTGTCCCAAAGAGTGAAGATCAAAAAGAAAATGCAAATGGTAGTGATCACAGGTGTCCGCCATTAAGCTATAGAGCAGCTATTGAGGCTGACTTACGTCACCTCGAAAAATCATTTCAAATACTTTATCAATAAAAAATATTTATGGGAAGAAAAATACTCAAATTATGTTGTTTTTCTCTTATAACCGGAAGTTATTGTTTTTGTTTCCGGTGGTACTGATATATTTTAAAACTACAAATAAGATGCTATAATGTGATGCAAAAAAAGTTTTATAAAAGAAAAGTTGAAATTTTCGATTTCTTAGATCACTTCCTGTGACGATCAGAAGTGACGGCGGACAATCTTATTACAAATGGATTTGCCTACTTATCAAGATCTACCACCCCTATAAGTTTGGTGTCTTAATTTCTTACCGTTTCCGAGATCTAGCTGTGATAACTTCTCATTTTGAGGACAGGAACTCACGCGACCGGAAGTGAATTTTACAAAGATATTTGATGTTACTGTAGACATTTGCAGTCTGAATAACATATTCAAAAATCATTCCAAATGCTTCATGTATAAAAAATATTTAAGGGAAAGAAAAGTATTCAAAATATGCAGTTTTTCTCTTATAACCGGAAGTTGTCGTTTTTGTTTCCGGTGGGACTGATATATTTCGAAACTACAAATAAAATGCTATAAAGTGATGCAAAAAAACTTTCATAAAAGAGAAGTTGAAATTTTCGATTTCTTAGATCACTTCCTGTGACGACCGGAAGTAACAGCGGACGATGTTAACCCAGATGGTTTTGCCTACTTATCAAGATCTATCACTCATAAGTTTTGTGTATTCATCTTTAACCATTTCTGAGATATGACTCTGACAAAACTTTTTTGAAAAAAGTGGAAATCAGACATCTGACGACCGGAAGTGAGTTTTGAAAAACTGAAAACTGCATTTGAAAGATATTTTTACTCTCTATCATCCCTGAAAATTTCATGAGAATCCGTACAGTCATCTCTGAGAAATCGTCAAAAGAAAAAGGGAAAAAAAATAATTATAATAAAAAGAAAAACAGCGGAATCACTATAAGGTCTTTCGTCTGAAACGGAAGACCTTAACTAGGTGCGTTCTTGTTGCTAGTGCAAGAAGCAGGTCTTCCGACCGACTATTCCTTAGAGTTCTATGCTATGTCATCCAAAGAAATAGATCTCAGCTTGTATTTTTTTGTTTATGTTCATTTACAGTAGTCTCTCAACATAGATCATGATTATTACAGTTATTTCACAAAATATCTCAAAATAAAGCTTTTAAAAATTGGCAAAATATTCCATATGATACATGTTAAAAAAGAGATAAAAGTAATTTGCCCAGAAAAAAGACAAAAACAAAGAAAAAATTTTTGCAATGCCACCATCGGGATTTGAACCCCCGACAGTCGGATAAAGTTTGGTTCGTTCATATCTTTGCAATAAATGCACGC